TTTCATGTTCCACCCCTGGTGCGCGGACCTTTGATCACAGGTGCTTTGACCATAGGGGGTTTGACCATAGGGGGTTTGACCACAGCGGAGCTTTGACCATAGGGGCTTTGACCATAGGGGGATTGACCACAGCGGACCTTTGACCATAGCGGTGCTTTGACCATAGGGGGTTTGACCATAGGGGGTTTGACCACAGGTGTTTTCTCAGCAGAGGGTCTTTGATCACAGGTGGTCTATCAACGGGTGTTTGATCACAAGCGCTGTGTCCGGCTTTGATCATAGGTGTGATACAATTAACACGATTTTATACATGTTTCCTGAGAGTACGTTAATAGAAATTAACATGTATTTAAAAAAGCCAAGAACTGTATTTTAGTCTCCACATAAAGGCTGGTGCTAGACCTCATAGATTTATTTTAAATATAAATGAAACACAAATAATGCGACATATAACAAGTTTCACAAATAAATAATGTAGATGTACTTGAAAATACATAGCATATATAAAGGATAAAAAATGATACAAAACTTGCCAACAATATAGTCAAAGATGTAATACATAAAATCTGAATCAAATTTTCGTATAATTACGATTTTTCAAAAAAAAATAGCACGCAAATATGTCAGTACATCTGTTTGACCATATTATTACATCATGTCGAAATTTAAAATATAATTTAGCAACTTTTAAAATAAATCCTTACCATATATGGACAGCATTGGACAAACCACCTGAGATCAAAAACCCTATGTGGACAAAACACCTGAGATCAAAGACCCTATGTGGACAAAACACCTATGATCAAAGCCGGACACAGCGCTTGTAATCAAACACCAGTTGATAGACCACCTGTGATCAAAGACCCTCTGCTGAGAAAACACCTGTGGTCAAACCCTCTATGGTCAAACCCCCCTATGATCAAACCCCCTATGGTCAAAGCACCGCTATGGTCAAAGACCCGCTGTGGTCAAACCCCCTATGGTCAAAGCCCCTATGGTCAAAGCTCCGCTGTGGTCAAACCCCCTATGGTCAAACCCCCTATGGTCAAAGCACCTGTGGTCAAAGGTCCTAGGACCCCACCCCTTACGTAGCTTTAGCTATAAATAAGTTTAAGGACAAGAAAAAAGTGGGAGGGGGGGGGGGGCTGTGTCTGTATGTGCTCAAACTTTGGTACACCGTGATCTACATGACACAGTGCTAAAAGTTAGGGTTGTTTCGGTCGACTACTGCTATTAAAACAGGGTATTACCGGTGTTTTAAAAGAGCTACACTGGGTTACTGATTTTTTTGAAAATGTTGACCGGGCTTTTCGACTTTGTTTTCAACGGTTTTAACACACACACACACTCACGCAAACCTTTACGATACATTTTTGTAATTTCTACATTTGCGACATCCGAATAATGTGTATCTGTATCTATATCTATATCTGTATGTACCCATGTCCACGTTCACACTCACACTCACACACATTCACGCTCACATTCACACCCACACCCACAATCACAATCACAATCACAATCAAATTCACACACACACACACACACCCACAATCACAATCACATTCACACCCACTCTCACACTCACAATCACAATCACACATCCACATCCCCATCCCCATCCCCATCCACACCCACTTCTTAATTCAAATTCACACACGTATACACACACCCAAACACACATGTATAGCCATACACACACCCAAACACACATGTATAGCCATACACACACCCCAACACATATGTATAGCCATACACACACCCAAACACATATGTATAGCCATACACACACCCAAACACATATGTATAGCCATACACACACCCAAACATATATGTATAGCCATACACACACCCAAACACATATGTGTAGCCATACACACACCCAAACACACATGTATAGCCATACACACACCCAAACACATATGTATAGCGATATACACACCCAAACACATATGTATAGCCATACACACACCCAAACACATATGTATAGCGATATACACACCCAAACACATATGTATAGCCATACACACACCCAAACACATATGTATAGCCATACTCACGCCCAAACACATATCTATAGCCATACACACACCCAAACACATATGTATAGCCATAAACATACTCAAACGCATAGGCATGCGCTTCCGCATTCGCAAAAAACTCGCTTTGAGATGTTTCAGTTATATCGGAATAAAAAACAAGAACCACAACATCTGATTTACTTTATTGTATTTCCTTATCAGATGTGAAGGGACGTGATTCTAGGTTTCTGTTTCAGATGTCAGGTTTGAGCATGCTCCATACACTTCCACCAGTCCTGTCCAGCTTGTTTCTAATGCTCAACTTCCCCCACTACTCACACCAGTACGTGTACAGCGGGGACCTGAAGGATGTCTATTTCTATAAGCCAGGCGACTTTATAATTGGAGGATCGTTTGGTGTGACAGAGGACTGCAAAAGTGTGCGAAACAACATTCCATACGCTCTAATGCGGGCAATGGTCCACTCTGTGGATTTGATAAACCAGGTATCCATTTGATAAACCAGGTATCCATTTGATAAACCAGGTATCCATTTGATAAACCAGGTATCCATTTGATAAACCAGGTATCCATTTGGTAAACCAGGTATCCATTTGGTAAACCAGGTATCCATTTGGTAAACCAGGTATCCATTTGGTAAACCAGGTATCCATTTGATAACCCAGGTATCCATTTGATAAACCAGGTATCCATTTGATAAACCAGGTATCCATTTGATAAACCAGGTATCCATTTGGTAAACCAGGTATCCATTTGATAAACCAGGTATCCATTTGGTAAACCAGGTATCCGTTTGGTAAACCAGGTATCCATTTGGTAAACCAGGTATCCATTTGGTAAACCAGGTATCCATTTGGTAAACCAGGTATCCATTTGGTAAACCAGGTATCCATTTGGTAAACCAGGTATCCATTTGGTAAACCAGGTATCCATTTGGTAAACCAGGTATCCATTTGGTAAACCAGGTATCCTCATTGATAGAAGATGAATGACGTATACGTCCTTTCAATTTTTAAAACGGTTACTAGACCTAAATATCTCCGGAATATGATACTCAGTATTGATACTCACGAATGTCTTGGTATCTTCTAACATGACGGAATATTGTATGAATGGGATCAGTATCCCAATGTTTTATAGATGAAACTGATAAAATCAACCCGTTTTTATGAGACTAAACACGAATTATCCGTTACTTATTCGGGACGAAGTCTATAAGAAGCAGCTATGTAAGGGTAACACGTGAATGGTATAAGCATATAATCTATTAGCTAACTGTTGGTTTAGAGGGAATCTAGTAGAAGCAGCTATGTAAGGGTAACACGTGAATGGTATAAGCATATAATCTATTAGCTAACTGTTGGCTGAGAGGGAATCTAGTAGAAGCAGCTATGTAAGGGTAATACATGAATGGTGTAAGCATATCAGAGGCGCAGCGAGGGGGGGGGGGCGGGGTGACACTGTTTATGGGGGTGACACCAAGGCAAAAAATAGCAAAATATATAGAGAAAAACTTGAGGGGGATGTGCAAATCGAAAGTTCAAGCGGTGGGGGGGGGGGGGGGGGGGGGGGAGTTGCAAATCAAAAATTTGAGGGGGGGGGGGGGATGCAGATCGAAAATTTGAAAGTTTTCCCCCGGGAAGGGTCGCTACGCCTCTGGGGGGTGACACCATTAAGAGTGCGCACCAAGAGACACCCGACCTCGCTACGCCACTGAAGCATATAATCTATTACTATTAGCTCTTTGCACTGGTTAACGTATATAATAGCTAACCAGAATCAAATGTATTTAATTAATTTTCTTTAAATTTCAGAATTCATGAAAATCTTATTTTTTAATAATTCGTTAATTCCAGATGAACGACAAATCTCCTAGTTTTACTTTAGGTTATGCAATCATTGACAACTGTGGGAGCGCGAACGTCTCAGCGTTGCAAGCCCTTCGCTTCATTTCCGACTTAGATGAAATACAATTTGGCACGAAAGGTTTGTTGTTTGATTGTGTTGAATGTAAAAACCACACGATTATGACTGCTCTGTTTTTGTACTAGTGCGCAATATTATTTGTACTTTAAAAATGTACATTAGTTTTTTGAGAAATCGGAAGTAGCGTAAATTAGTACTTCCGGTCAACGGAAATTACTCAAAATTTAACGGAAGGTAGAAAATTAGAACTTTTACTCACATGTGAAACTTAATTTATCTATCTGAAATAGTACTCAAGTTATAGGCTTTTGAAAAATTCAAAGTAGAAAAAGTACCACTTCCGGTTATTGGAAATCAAAAAGTTGATACGGATATACGATTTTGATAAAATACTTATATATAAAATTTCAGCAACCTAGCTGTAACGGTACTCAAGTAATCGTGTTTACACACAGACACACAGACATACGGACAGAATTGCAAAGCCCAGTATTTCAGACTAGATTACGCATAAAACCTTTTAATTTTGATAAATCTGGATTGATAATTTTTGCCCGATTAAAATAAGTCCTCTATACTTCGGATGTGAAGAAGGATTGAGGTGTAATACGGTGAAAATTGTTAAAATTTCAAGTGATTTTTGTGCACAATTACAATACTTTCTCTATACTTCGTATATACGAGAAAGATACTAGACTGGCTTATTTTATTGTGTTTGTTTTGTTGTGTTTATGAAGGATGTGTTTTAATGTATTTTCACCTTTACCCAAACCTCGAAACAAACCCCAAGCTTGTGTGAAACTATTGTATACCCAGGACTTTGCTTTGAAATGTTCTCCTAGAAATCCCTGGCTATTTGAGGTCATTCAACGTCATCGGAGTACTTGGTACCGAGTATAGTTTGACTACAATGTCACTCGCGTCAATTCTTGGAGCCGCTAAGATTCCGGTGATCAGCTCTTGGGCCACAGACGATGTGCTCACAAATAAGGTACCACGTTTGTAGGTCATTTGTAGGTCATTTGTAGGTCATCAGTTCTGCCGGGTCGCAGAAATATTGGGGATGGCGTGGTGTTCCTGAAAGTTGTGCACTAGCACTGTGTACCTCACCATATGGTCCACCACTTGGTTCACCACTTGGTCCACCACTTGGTTCACCACTTGGTTCACCACTTGGTCCACTACTTGGTCCACCACTTGGTCCACTACTTGGTCCACCAATTGGTCCACTATTTGGTCCACCACCAGGTCCACCACTTGGTCCACCACCAGGTCCACCACTTAGTCCACCACTTGGTCCACCACATGGTCCACCACTTGGTTCACCACTTGGTCCACTACTTGGTCCACCGCTTGGTCCACTACTTGGTCCACTATTTGGTCCACCACTTGGTTCACCTATTGGTCCACTATTTGGTCCACCACCAGGTCCACCACTTGGTCCACCACTTGGTCCACTAATTGGTCCAACGCTTGGTCCACTACTTGGTCCACTACTTGGTCCACTATTTGGTTCACCACTTGGTTCACCACTTGATTCACCACCAGGTCCACCACTTGGTCCACTATTTGGTCCACCACTTGGTCCACTATTTGGTCCACCACTTGGTCCACTACTTGGTCCACTATTTGGTCCACCACTTGGTCCACCACTTGGTCCACCACCAGGTCCACCACTTGGTTCACCACCAGGTCCACCACTTGGTCCACCACTTGGTTCACTATTTGGTCCACCACTTGGTCTACTACTTGGTCCACTATTTGGTCCACCACTTGGTCCACCACTTGGTCCACCACCAGGTCCACCGCTTGGTCCACTAATTGGTCCACTATTTGGTCCACCACTTGGTTCACCAATTGGTCCACTATTTGGTCCACCACCAGGTCCACCACTTGGTCCACCACTTGGTCCACCACTTGTTCCACAGCTTGGTCCACCACTTGGTCCACCACTTGGTCCACCACCAGGTCCACCACTTGGTCCACCACTTGGTCCACTAATTGGTCCACCGCTTGGTCCACTACTTGGTCCACTACTTGGTCCACTATTTGGTTCACCACTTGGTTCACCACTTGGTTCACCACCAGGTCCACCACTTGGTCCACTATTTGGTCCACCACTTGGTCCACCACTTGGTCCACCACTTGTTCCACAGCTTGGTCCACCACTTGGTCCACCACTTGGTCCACCACCAGGTCCACCACTTGGTTCACCACCAGGTCCACCACTTGGTCAACCACTTGGTCCACTACTTGGTCCATTATTTGGTCCACCACTTGGTTCACCACTTGGTCCACTACTTGGCCCACCACTTGGTCCACCACTTGGTCCACTATTTGGTCCACCACTTGGACCACCACTTGGTCCACCACTTGGTTCACCACTTGGTTCACCACTTGGTCCACTATTTGGTCCACCACCAGGTCCACCACTTGGTCCACTATTTGGTCCACCACTTGGTCCACCACTTGGTCATCCACTACTTGGTTCACCACTTGGTCCACCAGTTGGTCCACTATTTGGTCCACCACTTGGTCCACCGCTTGGTCCACTACTTGGTCCACTATTTGGCCCACCACTTGGTCCACCACCAGGTCCGCCACTTGGTCCACCACCAGGTCCACCACTTGGTCCACCACTTGGTCCACTATTTGGTCCACCACTTGGTCCACCACTTGGTCCACTATTTGGTCCACCACTTGGACCACCACTTGGTCCACCACTTGGTTCACCACTTGGTTCACCACTTGGTCCACTATTTGGTCCACCACCAGGTCCACCACTTGGTCCACTATTTGGTCCACCACTTGGTCCACCACTTGGTTCACCACTTGGTCCACCAGTTGGTCCACTATTTGGTCCACCACTTGGTCCACCGCTTGGTCCACTACTTGGTCCACTATTTGGCCCACCACTTGGTCCACCACTTGGTCCACCACTTGGTCCACCACCAGGTCCACCACTTGGTCCACCACTTGGTCCACTATTTGTACCACCACTTGGTCCACCACTTGGTCCACTATTTGGTCCACCACATGGTCCACCACTTGGTCCACTATTTGGTCCACCACTTGGTCCACCACTTGGTCCACCACTTGGTTCACCACTTGGTTCACCACTTGGTCCACTATTTGGTCCACCACCAGGTCCACAACTTGGTCCACTATTTGGTCCACCACTTGGTCCACCACTTGGTCGGTCCACTACTTGGTTCACCACTTGGTCCACCACTTGGTCCACCACTTGGTTCACCACTTGGTCCACCACTTTGTCCACAACCAGGTCCACCACTTGGTTCACCACCAGGTCCACCACTTGGTCCACCAGTTGGTCCACCACTTGGTCCACCACTTGGTCTACCACCAGGTCCACTATTTGGTCCACTATTTGGTCCACCACCAGGTCCACCACTTGGTCCACCACTTGGTCCACCACTTGGTCCACCACTTGGTCCACTACTTGGTCAACCACTTGGTCCACTACTTGGTCCACCAGTTGGTCCATCACCAGGTCCACCACTTGGTTCACCACCAGGTCCACCACTTGGTTCACCAGTTGGTCCACCACTTGGTCCACTACTTGGTCCACCACTTGGTTCACTACTTGGTCCACCACTTGGTCCACCACTTGGTCCACCACTTGGTTCACCACTTGGTCCACTACTTGGTTCACCACTTGGTCCACCAGTTGGTCCACCACCAGGTCCACCACTTGGTCCACCACTTGGTCCACTACTTGATCCACCACTTGGTTCACTACTTGGTCCACCATTTGGTCCACCACTTGGTCCACCACTTGGTTCACCACTTGGTCCACCACTTGGTTCACCACTTGGTCCACCAGTTGGTCCACCACCAGGTCCACCACTTGGTCCACCACTTGGTCCACCACTTGGTCCACCAGTTGGTCCACCACCAGGTCCACCACTTGGTTCACCGCTTGGTCCACCACTTGGTCCCCCACTTGGTCCACCACCAGGTCCACCACCAGGTCCACCACTTGGTCCACCACTTGGTTCACCACTTGGTCCACTACTTGGTTCACTACTTGGTCCACCAGTTGGTCCACCACCAGGTCCACCACTTGGTCCACCACTTGGTCCACCACTTGGTCCACCACTTGGTCCACCAGTTGGTCCACCACCAGGTCCACCACTTGGTTCACCGCTTGGTCCACCACTTGGTCCACCACTTGGTCCACCACCAGGTCCACCACTTGGTCTACCACCAGGTCCACCACTTGGTCCACCACTTGGTCCACCACCAGGTCCACCACTTGGTCCACCACCAGGTCCACCACTTGGTCCACTACTTGGTCCACTACTTGGTCCACCAAATCGTAATTTCAAGATATTCTGATAATTTTATACTGTATCCACCTATTCTTTGTATAAACAAACAACACCCGTTTTACTTGACAAAATAACAAATAAAAAATCAACTTTTTTCAAGGTTTAACAGTAACCATTTTATTTTGAAACATGTATCTTCCACAGATGAAATACCCATCGCTTTTTCGGGTCACGCCCACCATGAAACACCATGTCCAGGCCCTGATGCAGTTCCTAGTGGAAAAAAAATGGTTCTATTTTTCCGTGATTGCCGATGCGAATCCTTACGGCTATCACAGTGTCAGGCTGCTGAAGAAAGATCGAAAGAAGTTCGGCATGTGCATCGGCGTCATATCGAGCGTGAAAAGTGACGTCGACTTCCGGAGTCTCCTCCTCTACCACCGCAACACCTTTGACGTCAACGTTATCGTTGCATTCGTCCTGTCCTCGTCGGCGCGGAAACTGTCGCAGGCCGTGAAGGACTCCGAGTTAGAAGGTTCGATCATCATCATCGGATGTGATTTCTTTTATTACGAGCTTTACACTGGGAACCTGGCCAAAGGTTTCCTGTCCCTCGGGCCCCCTGCCACTCAGGTCACCGGGTTGAAATATCATTTGATGGGGTTAGACAGCGCGAAAAATCAAGACCCGTGGATAAAGAGCTTGTACGCAAACGTTTATAAATGTCCGCATACGCTATGCGCGCAGCATTTTCGGCACGATGACAATTTATTGAATGCTTTGCCTCTAGGCGACGTGTATGATATTGTAAAGGTGTATGCAGCCGCGATAAAAAAATTGTTAACTGAGTACTGCCCTGGGAAAGACAGACAAGAAGCGGCCGACTGTTTCTTGGGTTTTAGACATGAAATGGTTCGTTTTATCAGCGACGTGAAGTCTTTTGCCGACCAAAATATATATTTTTTTGATGAAGATCGACTACGATTAACCGACGTATGTATCTTCCAGTCAATCTCTACGGACACTGGCAGCAGGGTCGTGGAGATTTCCAGGTTTGATTACACGACAAAAACGACGAATTTGCTCCGGAAACTCGACCTGGAGGGATTCACTGTGCCTGAGAACGTTTTTGAAGCGTCCTATCGGTGCCAGCCAGAATGCCCAGGAGACGCCGCCAAAGACTTCTACAACCGCTGTTGCTGGACGTGCACTGAATGCAGCTCTTACGAGATCGTGGCGGGTAACGGCAGTCACTGCGAGAAATGCCCAACCTTCTACTGGCCTACGGTCCAACAAGGAAAGAAATCGTCCTGCGAAGCCATTAAAATATCCTACATCTACTTCACGTCATTGACATCCCAATTACTTATCTTCCTATCCATGGCGCTGTTCGGTGTATCAGCTTTTACTCAGTACGCATACTACAGTAAAAAGTTCTATCTCCGAATAACATCAGGCCATTATTGTATCGCCAGCTGTCAAATCGTGTGCACGTCTTTGGGCTACTTCGCGATTCCTTTCTTTGTTTTTCAACCTCAGAAGCTGACGTGTATGGCTGGGCTTGGATTTTTTGAACTGAGTTTCAACGCGCTCTACGTGTGTGTGGCGATTAAGGCCTTTGACCTTTCCTACTGCAGTCAGAACCTACCGGGGGACCCCTCGGTCAAGGTTCGTCTGCGCGAGTTACAGAAAGTGGCGGCTTGTGTGTGCGTCATTTTGGAGGCAAGTATAACATTAACGAGAAAAATGGCCCGTTGAGGAAGGATACACCGGGCGCTAGGTTGATAGTGCTGTCTCTTTTCTCTAAACTAAAACCAACCCATCCCCCACACACACATACCCCCAACCCCACCCCCCCCCCCCCCCCAAAAAAAAAAAACATGTCTACCGTCCCATTAAACGAAATATAATTATATACTTTTTCCAGTGTCCGCCCCCTCCCCGAAAATTCTACCCCCGCCACCGAAAATTTCAAGTACCCCCACCCCTATCCGGGGAGGAAAAAGTCTAAACTAAAACCACCCCACCCCACCCACACACACCACCCCCACCCCCCCCCCACACCACCCCCCCCCCCCAAACACACCACCCCCCCACCCCCCACCCCCCACCCTCCCCCCAAAAAAAAAACACATGTCTACCGTCCCATTCAACGAAATATAATTATATACTTTTTCCAGTGTCCGCCCCCTCCCCGAAAATTCTACCCCCGCCACCGAAAATTTCAAGTACCCCCACCCCTCTCCGGGGAGGAAAAAGTCTAAATTAAAACCACCACCCCCCCACTCACCCCCCCCACACACACACACACCACCCCCCCCCCCACCAACCCCCCCCCCCCCCCCCGCCCTAAAAAAACATGTCTACCGTCCCATTCAACGAAATATAATTATATACTTTTTTTAGTGTCCGCCCCCTCCCCGAAAATTCTACACCCGCCCCCGAAAATTCCAAGTACCCCCCACCCCTCTCCGGGGAGGAAAAAGTCTGAAAGAAACACTGGTGTCGCGCTTAGACACTACCCGAAGAATTGCATTAAAGAAATTGCAAGAAAACCACTTTTTAGATTAGACACATTAATTAGGCGGTAATTTTATTATAGAGTATCGATGAAGAAATTTCTTTTGAGTTGGGGAGGGGGGAGGGGCTCAGACGTTCTTACGCGTGGGGTGGGGCTTCGCCCCTACCCGAAGAATTGTATGCAAGAAACTCTTCACGCAAACCATTTAGATTAGACAACATTTCCTTTCTATTCAATGTTTACGCGATAATCAATGACGTCATTATATTAATGTGTGCACTCTCTGGTTTGAGATTATGTTCTACTCTACGCTAAATGTGTCGACGTCATATTTCGTTTTTCGAATTACTGTGCATGTTTTTAAATTGCTTGTGTTTTCTCTAGAGCGTTCTTGTCAGACAGAGCGTTCTTGTCAGACAGAGCGTTCTTGTCAGATAGACAGACAGCGAAACTATTATTATAGATAGAATACGGGGGCATTTTTTCTAACGTAAGTAGTTGACTAAGTTAGGTAAAATAATTAGCGATAAAAAAGAATTATAAGGGATGGGGGAAGGGATGCACGATGTTATTAGATTCAACCAAGCATCCATTTCAACTTGTTTGTTTGGAGAAGATAACATTCCATATGTATAATGTCCAACCCAAGAAGCAATTAGCAAACCTGAAATAGAAGAATACCAATTCGGAATAGTTGTTTGGGTACTTGATCCAAATAAATCAATTATGCTTTCGCTAACGCTGATAAAAACACAATGACCGCGCGCTTTTTGAAACTAAAAGTTGGCCTTGTACTAACACTACGTGCTATGTTAACAATTTATGTCAAAATCTGTGTTCTATTGTAAACATTTCTATCACAATCTGTGTTCTATTGTAAACATTTCTATCACAATCTGTGTTCTATTTTAACGGACTCTTCGACTTTTAAATATATTTTCTTTATCACAAAATATAATCTTACTGCATGTTTGGTATTTAAGAATATTAAATGTGTAAATATGCATTTCTGTCAATGTGTAAACATGTTTTGTAATATCTACTTGTTTTTTTTTACCTTTGCGACAGGTATGCATGTTAGTTTTGACGATGTGTCCTACACATGTTTTGTAATATCTACTTGTTTTTTTTTTACCTTTGCGACAGGTATGCATGTTAGTTTTGACGATGTGTACACATGTTTTGTAATATCTGTAATTTTTTCTCCTTTGTGACAGGTGTGCATGTTAGTTTTTACGAACCTCATCTACCCCCCGACTGTGACCTTCCAACAGCCATCAGAGGTGGTCAACTACGTGGAGAAGGTGTGCGACGTCCCAGACATTCATATGTACTGTTTCCTCGGCCACACCATGGCCCTGCTGTGTCTCTCTTTGTTGATGATTATCCGGTATCGAGTCTTCCGAGTCTACTACCTAGAAAGCGAGTTCCTCTTCATATGTCTCACAGTCAAAATGACCACCTGGGCGTGTTTTATCCCAGCCTACTTCATGTCAGACCGACTACAGATTCGTATCTACTACATCATCTTGGTCGTTTTCATCAACCACACAACAGCCCTGGTGCTATTAATGGCGCCGAGACTGTACTACGTGCTTACAAACGCTAGGTATGATGCGAAACTCAGCACCATATTCGAGACGAAATATGACATTCGCAGGAGCAGGCAGGGCAGGATATATATACGACAATCGATAACTTCAGGAACAATGTCGTCTCGCCGATCGATAAGTATGAACAGACGACGTAGAAGTACGAGAACAAAGAAAACCTCCCTCCCCCCACCGCCTCAGAAGTTGCTATCACCCGAGCCGCCTCCATTACCCGTATCACCCGAACCCACAGAGACACAACCCCCCAGCAGTCCTAAGATATCCCCCACCACCCCTGTTGTATCTAAAGAAGAAGTGCAAAACATGATAAATATAGTGTAATTCTTCATGTTTTAGCTTTCATTTTGTAATTTAACATGTGAAATAAAAATAACATTTTTTTCTCTGATAAAGTAAATCCCTACGACTTTGTGTTGATAAATCAAATGTGAATATATCTTGTTGAAATGTTGATGGTCGCTATGTGAACGACAAGACACGTTAGCGTTGGGTATCTGTATTATGCCTATACCTCCGTGACAGATACCATATTTAAAATATTTATAATTAACAGTTTTGAACGGACAAGGTTTAAAACAAAAAACGTAACTTAATTTAGCTGTCTGTATAAAATGTAAGGTTGTCGATACACTATTATTACAGTTATGCATCACCGAATGTATTATTATAAATTTTATAAAGATGATTTTTGTTTATTGTAATGAATTTAACACTTGCTCGTATAAAAATTGTTGTCTGTTTTGTTTACATATATTTGTTTAGATGTTACAGAGATATTTATTCAGCTTTCTTCGCCTGTCTACACCCCTAAGACACCACCAGAGGCGTAGCGAGGGGGGGGGGGGTGTGGACCGCACCGGGCGACACCATTTAGAGAAAAATTATAATTCCACTTAATTAAGTGATTAATTCGAGTGCTAAATAGTATTTTAAGAGGTGCAAATCGAAAGTTTGAGGGGGGGGGGGGAGGGGTGCAAATCGAAAGTTGAATGTTTGTCCCCGGGAAGGGTCGCTACGCCTTTAAGTGCCGCACCGGGGGACACCCGACCTCGCTACTCCGCTGCCACTTTTGATGTTTCAAGC